CTGCGCAACGACCGCCCGCTGCCGCACAACCTGCTTGCACAGTTCGTCAGGGTGAGCGCCACCGTCTCCTCCCCATCAATTCACTCATTAAATACCAATTGTGTAACCTAAGGAATATTTCACAGTTGTTAAACACCAACTTGCAACTAGATCTAATTGTAAATTTATAAAACACGATGTGTTATGGCTATTAGTAGTCATGCATCAATGTCTTATTCATTAATATAAAACATTTTCGCCGCATGTTTCCCCTCCAATAACAACTCAGTTGTCGAGTGCATAACGAATTGACAATCTATATCTTATCACTTTAGATATTGATCTATTTTCAAGTCATTATCAAGCAATCTTTTTGTTTAATTATTTTTCTTTGGTAATAATTTTCCGCGACCACATTACTGTGTTATCAGCGAACACATTCACCGACACTTTGATAGATCTGCGCGATACCTATCACAAATTATAACATATTTATCGAGATGCGGTCATCACTTACTGCGATATTACTTCGAATGACGTCAAGGTTTTATAAATATCAATGCTTGTCTTTGTCCTTTTTCTTTCAAGATTATGTTTAAAAAGAAATCTAATTATACATATATAAAAAAGAAACAGATTATTGTTATAAATTACAAAAACTATTTTTATAGAAATGACATCTTATTTGAAACGTGACATTGTTATGTGTGACGGCGCAGAGCATGAACCACTCGAGCAACGAGGTGAAGCAGCTGATGGCGCGGGCGAGCGCGATGCTGGGCCGCGAGGCGCCGCTGGAGGCGTGCGGCGGCGAGCTGCTGCGCGCGCTGCTGCCCGCGCTCGTCAACGGCACCAAGGAGAAGAACACCTATGTCCGCGCCAACTCGGAGCTCGCCCTGCGCGCCGTGCTGCGCCTGCCGCACGACGACCACTTCCACCAGGTACACGTCGCACACAACCATCGCGACTATTTATCGTCGGGTGATGTAATGTCCGTTTCCTTGCAGAAATGCCTATTGCTGCTGGAGGAGGGCGCGCGCGAGGCGCTGAGCGACGTGGTGGCGCGCGTGCTGCGCCGGGCGCACGGGGACGCGCGCGACGCCCGCGACCGCGACGAGGATCTCGACTGCACGCTGCTCACCTGAGCTGACTGCCACCTCACTATATCATAATATAAATATCTATTGTTAATCGAACTATATACACTTTTATTTCAACCCCATTTTCAACTTCAGGCTTAAAAAAAACAAAGATACTCGAATGTACAGTCAAGGAAACTGGCGGTGTTCCACCTTAAAGCTACAATTGTTTGAACATTTTGTAATGAGACTTGGAACAAAAACCTATACAATATAGCTTATGAGTGAGTATAGCGTACAAATAAGTTCCATACGTTTACTTTTGGACATCTCCAACCAAGCTGCTTCGAAATTAAATTATAGACCACTTTGTCAGTAGATATAACATTATTAATCTTGTACTAGTCTAGTGGGACAATCTTGTGTCATGTAGAGCTGATGCAAATTAATATTTTATCTCATAGACATTTATGTTAGTCTGTCCTGTGCTAATGCTGCGACTGGTAGCAAGGCTGAGGACTGAGGGGTCAATAATTAGTTGAAAAACAGCAATTTTAAGACACCATTTATTATTTACCACAAAAATTCATCAAGTTAAGGTCTACCGTGGTTTAGTGGTAGCAGATTTGCTGTTGAGATACATTTAGGCCCTACCTACATCAAAATTGAATAGGGTCTGTAAAACAGAATAAGGATAGGATAGGTTTGAAAAGGATAGGAAATTAATAAAATCCAACAATGAAATCTTATTACAATACTTTAATCTGCACTAAAATGGAATGTAAAACAATGGCAACTGTTTAAATGCTGTATTTAGTTACTTTTACTTAATCATTAAAATTCAGAATTAGTATTTTTTTTGTAAAAGCCCTTGCTTTGTACGAGTTCATTACATTCGGAACGAGTCATGCGCGAAAGCAGGATGCGCTCCAACTCGCGATCGCTTTTGTCCAAGAGAATTAACTCGGGATCCGCCCCCGTAATGAATTTAACATCTAGGCGCTCATATTTGGGTGCATCCTCCATTATAAAACCTTTCACTTCAGGTAAACGGTTGAGGGAACATCCCCTACAACTCTGAAAGAATACTTTTACATTTATATTTATATTTCAATACGTGATTAGGTTATTTCGCCCAAACTATAAATGTAAAGTGTTTACCTCAATTCGAGCTGAAGCTATGTCAGACTTCTCATAGGCTGCCGTTATAGTGAGCACTAGACATGCTACTAATAATAAAATATTCAAATGTTGAGCCATTTTAAAAGATTTAAATACAACACCCAAAGTATCAAAAAATCTTCAACGCACTTTTACGTGCGACAGCAAAGATGAAGGACGTCTACAGACGTCTATCCGAGAAATGACATTGACATTGTCAAAACGTCCTCCCTGAAGCCTGAAGTAACAAGTACTAAGTACAACAAGAATGAGTTTTATGCGTACATCTTGCAGTTAAAATAAAGAACATAAAACCCTATGATAAGGGTGTAAGAGTCTTGTTGCACGCAAAATAAAATTGAACCCGAGTGAGAGATCTACAAGCATCTGGTGTATCCCTTTCTAACGGTAACCTAGAGTAGCCAGATATCAATCCTTTCGTTGTTTGTAGAAAAATAGGCGGTTTATGTAATGGAATAAAATAAAAGCATTTACTTCTAAAATGTTTCTAATTATTAATAATAATTTATTACCGACATATTATAGCAATTTTTTTTATTGCTACTTGTAATACTTTATTAATGAAAAATTTTGCTATTGGCGAATAGGTTTTCTTTTTTTTTTGTTTGAAATTCGGACACTTGAACTGACAACCCCATGTGATATTCCGACTAGGACTTTAACGGCGGTCTTTTTTGACATCGTGATATTTTTGAAGAATCTTAGGAAGAATTTGTATCGTGGACATTTGCAGAAGTGAGTATTTTGCCCGTTGTGGGTTATATTTTCCCTGGTTTTAAACATAACTTGTTGGTGAAGAATTACGGTGACCATGCATGACTCCCAATTCTAGTTCAAGAACAAGTAACTTAAACACTTATGCATTTATTTCTTCCTTTCTCTAATAAAATAATTTTGTTTTAATTTCAGGTTTAAGATGGAAGGAATAAGCTAGATTTGCTTCATAAACTTCACAAAACTTTTATTTAGCGATGTCTGATTTAGAATGATGTATTTTTGTTGTTTTTAAAAAATACACTTACAATAATACTAATAAGTTAAAATCCATCTGAAGCAATAATCAGCTGACGACTGATCCGATGACGTCACACAACAAAAAAAAGCTTTATTATAATATTTTTCCTTAAATCATGTTTTAATACAGTCATCATTGCCAGAGTGGTATAGAACGGACAGCAGTTATTGAGATTTCACACGGCGTCAATTTTTCGACAACAGCTCAATCCTGTTCTAGTTCTAGTAGTACATCCATGGTTTTTACACATCCCTACTAAATTGTCAAATGAATTGTCAAACTGATTATTCAGACAAAGTATAGGTTTTTGTGGATTATTGACATTTTTTAAGAGTAAATATGATTTTAATTCTGTTTATATTTGAGAGCTGAGACATATTAAATGTAACGAAGTGATATTGACAATATTTCTGTTCCAAAAAATCATAGTCAGTGACTTCTATGTTATTGTGGGTCGAGTACTTGGAAGTATAGCAAACCTGCTGTGTGTGTGTGCTTGTAGTAAATTAAATAAAGACTTGTGGCGAAATTGACGTAATTTTCATCAAGTTCGTGCATGAATTTAATAACAAAATGCAGAACGAACATCGCAAGGCAATACAGAATAATTTTGGGTCGCTGGTGGAGCAAACTGACCTTGACATGATGGTTTCGGCTCTGTACGAAAAAGGTGTATTTTCTGAACAAATGATCGAACCTTTTAAAGTAAGATCTTAGTTGGAAACTGGTAAAAAACATTAAACTGTTTTAACACTAAACCTGATATATTTTTCTATTTCACTATTGATTTTCAGGACACAAACAAGGATACAAGGACTAGAAAGCGTCAATTATACATGGACATAATGAGACGAGGGCCTGATGCATTCGGACACCTCCTAGAAGTGTTGGAGGAGAATGGCTACTGGAACTTGGTGCGCGAATTGGACCCTGCCAGCTCCTTGCACCTGCAGCCCAGGACTACATACAATACTCAAGGTATGTTAATATTGCAACACTAGAACATACAAAAAGTATCTGTGGCTTAAGGTTTTAACATATAATATAGTATTTCATTATAAATCACATATTTTTAAATATACCTTAACTATCTGATATTAGTAGTTTAGTTAGCTTAGTTTCATTTTCTATTCTATTGATATAGGCAATACAAAAACCAATGTCTGCCTTCAGATTCCAAAAGCGGGGAGAACAACTATGTCAGCATAAGAACAGAGAAAAAGAGAACCAAGTCTAATGTTGAAGCTACCAAGAGTTAGTAAGAAAAACATTATGAACTATGCAACAAATACAGTTACACCTCTTTATGAGTTGTAACTCTTATTGTTGGAATAGTTTATTGTCCTGTTAAAGTAATTTTAAATGTATAAAAATCAAAGAATTGCAGTCTGTATGTAAGGGCATTCACAGATGAGATTCTGGCTGCATCTTCTGCAAGTCACAAGGAAGGCACGGACCCCTCGGTAGACATTCCATATTTCCATGTTGTTAAATCTAAAGAGTTTTTTGAAGATAATGAGGATAAGGGTAAGTGCTGTAACTAACTTTTTTTAAAATTAAAAGTACTCTTGTCTTTTCAGTTATAAATTTTTTCTCAAGGCTAATCTTTTTCTTATGGACCATGAGCATATAAAACTAAAATTAATTAGTTCTTGAGATCACTGACTTAACAACAAAGACTCGATTAAACATTTCCATCTTTTCTCTACATTATGATAGTTGAATCAATATTTCCAGACATAAAGTTGTACAAGACGCGGGGGCGCCAGCGCGGCATCCTGGTCATCTTCAGCTACATTCAGTTCTGCAACGACATTGAGGTGTACCGCAAGGGCGTCGACATCGACTGCAAGAAGCTCAAGTACCTCTTTGATGAGATCGGCTTCTCTGTCATCGCATATCAGAACCTCACCAAGCAGGTGAGCAATACAACGTCTACTTGTATAATGTCGGTAGTTTTAGAGGGGCCTTATGTAATCAGCAGCACAGTGAAGCCATCGGACTTATAAGAAATGTGGTCCACCAGGAGACGGAGACGACGCTGAAGCGGCTGGAGGAGGTGCTGGTGGGCACAGAGTGCGTGTTCATCGTGGTATCGTCGCACGGGTACGAGCGCGCGCCGCGCAGCGCAGAGACCGACATCCGCTGCTCCGACGGACAGCTGCTGTCCTTCCTTGACATCGTGGAGCGCTTCAACAACGTCAACCTGCCCGCGCTGCGCGGCGTGCCCAAGGTGTTCATCTCGCAGCTCTGCCGGTACAGCTAGCTCTTGTGCCTACATAGCTCGGGTGGTAGTGGTTGTGGTGGTAAAGTAATGTGGTGGTGCAGGGGGCGCAACGAGGAGTGGACGGTGGCGCCGCGGGCGCGTGCAGCGGGTGCGGCGGGGGGCGCGGGGGACGGCGCGGTGGGCGCAGTGGGCGCGGCGGGTGCGCGGGGCGCGGCGGGCGCGCGGGTGGAGAGCGACGGCGCGAGCTGGGAGGAGCCGCTGGAGCAGCAGGCGGACCGCATATACTCCGACATCCTCATCGGCCACTCCACGGTGCCCGGTGAGTAGACCGGCACGTCCTCGTCTCGTCGTGTCGCAGGGTTGGTGTAACGCGCTGGTGTTGTTCAGGTTTCGTGTCGCACCGAGACCCGGAGAAGGGGTCGTGGTACATCCAGGCGCTGTGCGAGGTGTTCGCTGCGCGCGCGCACGACTGCCACGTGGAGAAGCTGTTCACGCTGGTGGACGAGCGCATGTACGACCACTTCCAGGTGCAGACCTCCTCCGTGGAGAAGTGGGGCTTCAACCGCCGCCTCTACCTACATCCCGGACTCTACCAGGACTGACCGCACACGCTGCACACACTCCAGATGCATCCAATTATATTTCAAGATCTGATCAGGTTACATCTCTGTCCAATGTAATTGTCCATTTCATTAATAAGTTATTTCATTTTAGCAATTATTATATAAAATTTGTAAGACCAATTAATTTAACATATTGAATAATTTGAGTTGACGTAGATTGTCTAAGTTACAAACTTACGCACAACATAGCAAACGTCGTGTTCTGTTGGAATCTAATAAAAGATCTACAACGTGCCAATAAAAGTAGCCGTAGTTATGAAAATACGTATTGTTTTGAAGATAATCAAGTTAATTGTGTATTTCATTAAATGTTGTTACGTCAATGTGATATGTACATAAACGACCATTTCATAAAGTAATAGATATTATATTCCAGTCCAGTATTAAAAAAGAAATTTCCTTCCAAAACATTATATACTGTAAGTTTTATCTTATGTAAAAGAATTTCATAATGACAAATACCATGTTAAAATAATTATGATCAGTATATTTTATTCAAATTGGCTCAGAGGGGATTAACACATTCACTGCCACTGATTCGGTTAGCTCATTGTCATACGTAAGAATCGTAGTGGCATCAAATGTGTTTAGATAATTCTCTATGACACTTGCTAAGAAATTGTAACATGTTCACTGCCAGCTTATTGACTTTATACACAATATTTGATATGCAACTGTGATATATTTAGTTTTAAATGGTTACCAGGCAACAACAAAGATCCAAGGATGTTTGGTTTTTATATTTATAAACATAAGGATATAGTTCTAGTACAAGTTTTTTTAATGTTTTCGAGAAATGCAACTTCTTCCTAAACATTTGCTAAAACAAATGTTAATTACGTAATTATTATTTTAGGATGAATTTATAGACAATAATGTAAGTGAATATATCATATTTTTATTAATTTGTAGTATTTTTTATTAAATTTTGAAATAAATAACCTTAAACTGAATTACTGTCTTTCATTTTTTTTATCTAAGATCAGTTTCCAAACCCAAGTATAAGCAGATGTAGATGTTTTGTGCGGTTTTGAGGTTTTTTTTAAATAATATAAACGAGCGACCACCAGAATCCGCCGAAATGGCGAAGCGAATCCTTAATCTACGGAGGACATAAAAAGAATAGATCAGCTTCCTATGGTCTGAGGCCGCTTCGCCATTTTGGCGGATTCAGGTAGTCGCTTGCTTGTTTGCCACCTTATATTAGATATTAAAAATAGACGTCTTCAGGTAGCTGCGTGGTCGTCCCTAATCTGGATCCCCAAGTGTCCCCCAGATACAAATCTATTTTTAGGAAATATGAATAACAAACGAGGAGCTAATTCGGAAGATTTATTTAGTTAATTCACATACAAAAATATAAGAATTACTTCTTAAACTGATAAAGTTGGCATTGTTCTTACAGCAGTCGCACAAGTGGCCACCCTTTACTTCAGTTAACCTTATCAAATATGTAAGTACATGACATTAGTACAGTACAAAGTTAAAAATAAAAAATAATTTACTGAGCTTTAGTTAAATCATTAATATTTAGCTTATTTAGCCAATAGAGAGTGCTAGAGGCATCTGTCCAGTGCAGTGCACCGGGCTACGGTCACAGTGTCTAGCGGTCTGCGGCGGAGGCCAGCAGCATGTTGAGCTTGCTGAGGTTCAACCATTGCCGAACACAGTGGTGGTCTCCGCACCGCTCCCCATATCGTGTGCCTTCATCGCTGTATAATTTCTTTTTAAATAAATCCGCATACTCGTCGACTATTTCCAACCATCTCTGCATGGGGCCGATCATGGAGCTGTGGTACAGCCAGTTCAGCAGCGGAGTTTTAGACCACCATGTTTCGAAAGATTTCCAGTCATATGCGTTATTATTATCTTGCCAGTGATTTTTTGTGTCAGTCCTGTCTTGATATTGCAGCCACCTGGTGCAGCATTTGAGTTTATCCGGCAGCGCGGGCTCCGCGGGGGGCGAGTCCGGTGCGGGATCCAGCGTGCGGTTGTTGAAGGGGGCGATGTCGGGTTGTTGGGTCATAACATTTGTGTCGAGAGCGGAGAGCGCGCCGCGTGCGGCCGCGTACTGCAGCGCGGGCAGCCACGCCTGCGACAGCACCAGCGTGGAGGCGAGCAGCGTCAGCAGCCCGGACAAGTAGCCGGCGCAGGCAGCCCGCAGCGCGCCCGCCACCTCGCGCAGCAGCGCGCAGTCGCAGCTCGCCGCCAGGTCGCTGTACGTGAAGAAGCCGCGCAGGCCGGCCTGGCGGAGTGCCACCTGCCGCTCCAGCCACAACAGTCCCGCCTCGAATGACCTTTCGTTCACATAAACATTCCAATCCTATCAGAGAGAAAAACAATAACTGTATTCATATTAAGTTTCATTTAAGATACAAGAAAAATAAATGAAACTAACAATAGCATTTAGAAATTCCACTTCAAGTTTTTTGAGGTGGTTCAACTCGAGGCCCCCGGAGGCGGCCCACTCGGAGCAGATCACCTCGTCATCCTCGCCATCGTCTTGTAGAAATTTGTTGCTCACCATCTGCACATGTAATTTAAAATTTTTAATACAAATATAATTTTAAATCATCAAATAAAGATGTAGGCACTTATGTCATTGCAACATGTTAAAATACTAAGCTAAACATTCTGTTTTCGTTAAAAATTTTGTAGCTGAAATGTAGGTATCTTGAAAACTCATATGTGTTATATATACCTCACACTGTTTGGTAATTTGTGTCAGTCAATTATACACCTTGGACTTGACATTAGTGTTTTGTTGCAAATATTACAGTATACAGTATACTTACCAAAGATACAAGGAAGAGGTCTGCAGGGGCTGCAGAGGTGAGGTAATCCTTGTTGCAGGACTTGAGGCGCTCCAGGTAGAGTATGGCTAGCACAAGGGCGCAAGGCGAAACGCAGGCGCTACGTGCGATGCCTGCCGCTGCATCCGCACGCAGCCGCCGCAGTGACCGCCCGCGCTGTGCCACTGACCACAGCTCGCATGAGATCTCTGCACACAATATTTGGTATATGTACCAATGTACTGGCAAACCTTTTGACAAAAGTCAAAGACAAATGTCTGTGATTGACAGATGGTGCCAAAGTTTGATTTTACCAACTGTACTAACCAGTCACAGGAAGACTGAGGCACGGCAGATCAGGCAGTTCACCATAGTACAGAGTTTTGGTTATTCTTTTAAGAAACTCATCATGGTCCCCAATGGACTGAAAATAATATAAAAATATATTTAACTAAAATTTAAAACTTAAGTATGATTTCTTATAACAAGTAATCACCAATTTAGCTTTGTCCCAAGTACCTATAAGTGTCCCTATCTTAGAACACTTCTTGGCCTTTGGGGGATCAAGACCAGTCATTGCTTATAAAGGATGAAATGTATGTGAGTGTAGCTGTTATTATTTTGTTATCAAAATAGAGTTATAATTTTAAACATCTAACTCTTTTTAGATATCTAACTGAAATGATAAGTCTTCATAAATTATATATTCAGTGTCACCCCTATATAAAATAAATAACAATAGGCGTATGATTACAGTTACAAAGAGTTACGAGTTATATATGTTATAAAGAGTTAAAAGTGATAAGACATAAGAAGGCATAGCGTGCATGTGATAACAAGTCCGCCGTGTCGCCGCAATTACCACCTGGTTGACCGCGGACACGTATTGTGATAATAAAGCCATTAATTCTTCTACAGCATTTGTTTTCTCAACAGACATCAACGTCATTTGCTTTAGAAAATAAACACTTTTATAGTATACCTGAAAATATGTGCTTTTTTTTGTTATTTTGGCCACGATGGGCTTGACCTCCTTTTTACCTTGATCTTGGCCCTTGAGCCTTCCTTTCGTCTCTTCGATATATTAGACATGATTAGGCTTATTTCTTGCTCTATTTAATCTGAAGTGGATCAACGCTGTCAACACAAATATTATGATTTTTAGATCTAAAAATAAACGTTGTGCAAAACACCGTCACAAGACGGCAAAAAAAAAAACAGAAAGCAACAGGAAACGAAAATCTGTCATTGACTCACTGACATTGGCAGATTGACGCTGACATCTGACATAAGGGCAAAAGCTAGGGCTGCCTATGGACACATTTTCAGCAGGTTACCAAACAGGTTAAATGCAATAAATTAAATTCAATCACGTTAAAATCATAACAAAAAGAATTTACAACTATAAAAAAACATATGATATCATAAGCATAGACGATTTTTAGTGATACTACCTTCTTCTTTTTTCTTTTGGTGCCATATCCTAACGAAGTTGCGATCATTAGAGCAGAGCTACTTGAACTTTAGACACAACAGCTCGAAACATACAGGTGGTTCTTAACGGACGGATCAACGGATTTGTCGAGTTAGATGACTTCAATAGCCATACTTGGCATACTTACTTTGACGTTTGCTTATCACCGATGGTGCCTTTGATTTTCTTATGTGTATTAGACAAATCGTATTTTACTGCAGCTCGTCTTCCCTTGGATTGATGCCTAAAAAAACTACAACATTCTTATTTGCAAGAATAGTAATTTAAATAAAATCGACACTGTGGAAGATTTTAGGGATGCAACAACAGTAGGCAGACATAGGCTGATGATGATGATGATTCATTGATCTGATTTACGATTCGATATTCAGACTCTACATTTTCTCTACGTATTTTCGTTCGTCCTGCTCAACATCTGTCACTGTCAAATCAGAACAAAAGCTGTCAAACGTAACTTTCGCATGAAGCGGCTCTATTGCCGATTGTCGTTTAGCTTTCTGTTACGATGTAATTTCCTTTTGTTGTAATTAAATATAAATGTATGTTGGTTCCATTTTTGTTGAATAAAGAATAATATTATAAATTTGAGTTGCATAATGTCAAGGCTGCAATATTTACATAATTTTTACTGGGCGTGTGTGGGCTTCTGTCACTGATATTGATTTGTTTTATTTTATAAGTTTGCTTACTATAATGTAGTCATTTTTAAGGCGCCGGTACTCCAATAAGTGTTAAATAATGTGCACTATGTGTTAACCGCCAGTGGAGAATGGACATGTGTCATTAAAATGAAAACAAAGAGTTTTCTACTGTTCTCAACATCAGTATTTGCAATTAGTTTATTTCTGATAGTATTCCACTCCCAGCCGCCTCAATCAATTCAAAATATCGTCACACAAACACACCAACATATAAAGGACTTTCAGGTAAATATCAACTAAAATGAGTGTTTTCACTGTATAGTACATTGTGAAATATTACAATATATACATAACAGTGTTCCACTAGGAAGAAATTATTACCAACCTATCATTTCTTATCTTATTTCATTTAATAAAATGGTATTATTGAAAAAATATAGAATAAAAACTAATCAAAAATAGATAGAAACATTAATCAAATTCATTTTTAGGAGTGTATATGATTAATATAAGGTTACCACGTGAGGGCAATCACCATGTTTTACATGAATTTAATGTTTTGGTGTAATGCCTTATTACAATTTGGGTTTCTATTACAAATTTTCTTCAGCTACATATCAATGTAAATAATTATTTTTTCTTGATATTCTATCTATGCTGTGCCCAGCTGTTTCAATAACCCTGGCCAATTTATGACTACAAAAATAGATATTCTTGAGTGTAACATATGGCATAATATGACAATATGTCAGGCATGGGTCCCACAGGAGAAGCTCCGTGATGTGGAGGCGAGCCATCTGGTGGCGGACGAGGAGTACGCGCGCCTGCTGGGGCTGGACGGGCGCGCGGAGCCCTGGCGCAACACCACGCTGCCAGCGCTGGTGACGTACGCTCGCGGCGACGCGCACGCTCTCGCCGTCGCTTTTGTGCGCCACGCTGCGCGCCTGCCCTACACCGTGCTCGTCTACAACATAGGCCTTAAGCCTTACTCACTTTCAGTTGTTAGTATCTAAATTATAACATTACTTTAAATATAAAAACTTTTCACTTCTCTTAAACAATAAGATGAGTATTCAAATTAAAATGCAATTAAACTCATATGCACATATTGAAAATTAATTGTTTGAGAATTTGATAGTGATTGACCCTTTTTTATCAAAAATTGTCTGGTTTGCGGTACCATGTGTGACTTGTGTTTGTCAGGTGTCAAGTTACTGCAACTCTTCAAAGTGCGCGGTTGTGGACTTCGACCTGAGCGCGTTCCCGTCGCACGTCAGCGACGAGAGCATCTACGCTTTCCGGCCCCTCATCATACAGGTCAGTTGTCACTATGCAAATCATGCACACATGTAGATTTGTATGTGGAAAAAGCAAGAGAACTAACGACAGGAATAGGTTGTTTATACTTTGATAAAAGTTCATATGAATATTACATTAAAAACACGGGAAATTGATTTCCTTATACAGTCGGAATATCATCGATAGATAATTACGTGTGTCGTCTTTGAATTACAGCCTTAATTGGAGAAATCAACAAGTCAATGTCTTATTTTTAACCTTATCTACACATTGACAAATTTATCACTAAATAAATATATAAAGATCGTAATGTATGTAATGTGATATTTATTTCGAAGGTATGGTTGTCTGGTAGATAATTAAAACCATAAAAAATGTTTGTCGTAATATCAAATATTCGTCTTCTCAATTTGTAGGTTCGCTTTCGGTAATTGGACGTAAACGAGGTTAATCATCCTAATATTAGGCCCTGTGTCCGCTTGCTGCTGGTCACAATATCCACATACCTGCTACTGTACATACATATATTGCACAATTTGCGTTATAAATACAAAGTTTGTAGTCGCCACGTAACCCACGTAGGACTTATCGGCCAGGTGTGAGTGTTCCGGAATCGTGGAGTGTGGAATGTTTACAATATCATGAAATCACTGAAGATTATCAAATAAGGGTAAACAATTATAGATTATTCATATATCAAGAGGCTTCCAAGACTTCGTCATATCCATTTTTCCTATTATAACAAAACAATGAGAAACGATTATGTAATTAAAATTTTGTGGAATTTTTTTTACTTTAGCTGCGAGTGTCAATTCGACAAATACTAAATGCATATAAAACAAATTATCATGTTTAATTTGTTTTTTTTTTTTATACAAAAAGGTGGCAAACGAGCAAGCGGCGATATAAATCCGCCAAAATGGCGAAGCGACCGCTGCCCATAGACATCCGCAATTGCAGATGCGTTGCCTACCCTAAATTAACGGGGGAAGAGACGCACATAAAGAGGATATTTCCCCTTCCTAAGCGTCTCCTCCACTGTCAAATCCACTTTCCCATCCTTCCCTTATAAGAACAAGGTGGGACGCGAAAGAGACTAAAATTGAGCCTCCGGCACCACACTCATCAGACGAAACGCGGAATTGCTTCCACTTCACGCCTATCTTCTGTGTGGTCGTGGTCGCACCAGGCGAGCCGACCCATTCGTGCGAAGATGTTAAAGCGGGCTCTACCACTCTACCATTGTTTGTTAATAACATAGTTATCGTCATCTGCCTTACTTCCTAATCCCGTAGAGTCGACGCACCGGGTTGTCGTCCTCCAAATAACTATCATCCGTCATCTCAGTCACCCCCTTTCTACGTCTACCTCTATCGTAGTACCCCTCAACATATAACATGATAACATGGTTATATGTGGCTTTTGTACTTAGTACATAAGGTAATGCGTGACCGGTGTCATCTAAGTCACACCATGCCGCGTTATTACTCGTATGAAATATACGCCGATATCTACAACCAGCTATAAAACTTTTATGTTGCATTCAAAGCAGAAAGTTATAAAATAATAATCGATAAGAAATAAGCATTAATGTAACATATATGAAATGCACTTTAATTATATTTATGGTTGATTCAAAACTCGTCAAAAGCGATCAACGAAAAAAAAATCGAAATAAAGATTCTTGTACATTTAATCAAAGACGTTAACTTGTATCTTTTATCGCAATGAACTGTGGTCTTTCTTCCTTGTCTTGTCACTCACTATTCTAGAACCTTCTATTATCTAGGACCTGTGCGATGTCACCCGTGGGTAGCCACAGCGTACGCTAACGTTAACTTTACGTGTAATCTAAATGTAATTATTTAGTTTATGATAATTTTATCGCAATCAGTTAAATTATCAATGTGTTGCGATCAGCGTTTACATTGTACACTACTGGTTGGGTTCGTGTGACTTTGGAACCTACGATATAAACTTGTTACTTTCTAACTCTACCACTATCTATACTGTCGGAACACTGATAGTAAAATATATCTTACTTCTTACTTTAAAGTTTAGAAGGATAGATGTTTCTTAGAGTTTGTGGCCTAAACTGCTGAACTGATCGCTGGAAATTTGCCAAAGATGTAGAGGGTAATCCTGAAGAACGCGCACAGAGTCGCGGGCGAAAGCTAGTTGAATTATATAATTTATTAAAGACACTAAAAATGTCAACATTGAATAAAATATCGGTAATAAGTTAATGCAATTGCTGTTTTTGTCTTTGCGATTATATTGTATTAAGTGCCAGTTAGAGCTGTTCCCTGTCACTATGAGAGCTCAGTGGAGTGCAATCGTTTGATGTGCCGCGCCGGCACTTTGACGTTCGCTTTGTTCTATGATTTATGACATGAGCAGACGCACGGGGTACATATAGTATAAATAGATTGCCTACATCTCGATCGCACACTTTTATTTAGATTGTAATGTTTGCCTTAAAATATTGACCAGGCCTCTGAGTTTGTATGTTTTATTGAAAAGCACGGCGTCTCTCCATTCATGTATTTTAATTTAAAAGTACACTGCCCTAAAGTATAACGTTCTTATATTAATATTTAATTTATTATTTCGTCTATTAATAATTTTATATCTCATATGTTATTTATGGCCGAGGCACGACTAAATTACATAAATGCTTTTTATTTCATATTTTATATTGACATAAAAATTATATCGATCATATAAGTAATATGGGTAAATTGGCCGTCTCTAGGGATGTCCCGATTCGGGTCGCCAATACGATATCGATACAAGCATTAGATAAGTGCCGTTGAACAAAAACACTTTTTTCACTTCTATAGAAGTTGATAAATCCATTTAGGAGAATCGCTCTTTTTACTCTAAAATGATGTGTGGCATAGTCGCGACGCTTTATGCAAATATGCAAATTAGAAATTCATTTAAAATGTTATTTTGGCTCGATGGAATGTTGAGAATTTAAAGATTGAATAAGGAATTTGAACTTTCAATACGATGAACGATTCCTAACGGGTAGTCTTAAGTCAAGTGTCGTGCGCGTTTCCAGCACGCGCTGAGCCGCGTGGGCGGCGTGATCTTCAGCGAGAGCGCGCAGCGGTGGGCGGGGTCGCGCGCGCAGCTGGCGGCGCTGTGGGCGCGCGCCGCGCACGCCGGCCTCGTGGCGTGGCCACGCCGCGCCGCCGTCACCTCCCTCACGCATCCGCGCATGTTCACCTACCTGCGCGCGCGCGCAGACGACTTCCTCTTCGTGCAGATGTTGGACGTCGAGCGGCTGCTGGTGTCGCCCGCCGCCGCCGCCGTCATGCGCCCCTGGATACAGTGCGCGCTCACCCTCGACTGCATCATGCCCATCGGTGAGTAACACCTTCGCTCGTGATGCCGGTTTTTTTATAGGGGGTAAAATGCTTTACAGCACCGTCAGACATGGGAGCTACATGCCTGGTACGTTGGGCTCATTAGTATTCACAAAACCTAGCAAGAGTCAAAAGTCCTAAGCGCATGATGCCGTGTGACGTGCAACATGCATAACTGTATCCGCGGTGTGCAGGCGCGCAGTCGGTGGGGTGCAGGTTCGACAAGAAGCCGCAGTACCGGTACTCGGGCTGCCACGCGCAGGACGCGTCTGCGCTGAGCATCGTGCTGGGCCTGCGCTGGGGCTTCGACGAGGCGCGGTACGTGGAGCGCGCGCCGCTGTGGCGTCGCCAGCCCGAGGCCGCCGCGCGCGCCGCCTTCGCGGACCTCCAGCGCAACACCACCGACGACGAGCGCGCCGACCAACACGTCGAACAGCACACCGAGCATCGTACCGAACAGACCGAGCAGCGCGCCGAACATCGCACCGAGCATCGCGTCGAGCACCGCACCGAGCTGCAGGCGGAGCGGCTGACGCAGCCGCCGCGGCCGCGGCCGTGAGCCGAGCGCCGGGCGACGTCTCCGACTCCGCACTGAGCGGTGCACTTTGAAGGTAGCTTCGCCGCTTTACCGTAACTTGCGTAGCGTCTCTTACGTACAACATTGCAACACTCTTCATACCTTTATCAAATCTATGTTATTTTACAAAACACGGGGGACAGAAAGGATCTCAAAAACTTGCTTACAGGTAGATTTAATTGAGTTAAAAGCTAGCAAGTGGTGCGCGGAGTTGCCGGAGACGAGGCCCGGAGCCGGGTGTTGCCTTTTGGCATTCAAATGATCATCTAGGGATAGAATCGGTTTTTAAAGATAATTAGGTGATGTAATAGTTGAAAGAGAAGCCTAGTTGTTAGTAATACACAGTATTAGTGCACAGCGAGTGAGCAGGACATACCGAGCTGTCGGCGGACTGAGATCGTTTGTTTGTGCACAAAGTGAGGAGACACGACTCGTGTTGTCGTTCGTTTAGTTAATATTATTTATTAGTCAGAACTTGGGATGATTATACAATTTTGTAAAATGTTTTAGCCCGTTTAGTAAAAACGGAGTGATGTTTATGCCATATCAATATATTAATTTACGAACACATCGTACCGATGGATGTTAAACCTGACGCTTTTGTTAGCTTGCTAATATATTTTTTTATTTTTATTATATCAAAGTAACAAAGTAATATAAATTGTGATGGCATGATACAATAGTATAATATGTAAGTCTCATTCACACAAATTTTACACCTACTTAAATTATTGTTTATTCATAATGCTAATTAAAAAAATAAACAGGAGTTAACAAAACACACTGTATTTGTAGTGTACGGCGCCTGGCGGTGGCTTTGCTTGTTTCTTCATAATTATTCACTAAGTTGTAGTAGAGTACCGTGTACAGTACAGGTAGAGCTTGAGGTTCACTTACCACGAGAGCTTGGGTCAAGATGGCAGCTAATATATTACAGCTTTTTATAAAACTTAAGCTTTATAAATAGCAAGTAAGGTCCTAAAGCTGCTGGCTCGCCCAGGGAACAACACAAGAGGAATTGCAGATGTCCTCTACTGATTGGTTGTCATGAAGAGGTCTGACTTACGTTCTACTGAAACGACATTTGAATATGTAACAGCGTCTTAAATGATAAGGCCACGCTTACATTTAAAATTCTACTAAACTTTAACGTCTGTCCGATTGTAAGCGGTGTTTAAGAAACAAAGTGTTTGAGATTCGTTTCAGTATTCGGTAACTGCCGCAGTTAGTTTTTGGTAGCTTAGCAATACCTTAGTGTTTGGCGTACTAACCTACTAAGGATTGCTGTTATTGTACCTCTGAGCATCTCAACTGTGTTGGAATTTTAAATTAAAAGTGTTCTCTTTCTTTGTGTTATTAGGCGTATGAGTGCGTAGAAAGATAAAATGGATTTACGTAAATAAATTCGAGAATGTCAGCCGTAAGCAATATTTGTTATTGTTTATAACACCAGTGTGTAGAAACAAAACATCTTAGCGCCCTTTTCTTTAGCTATAGTAAAGTTTTTTTTCTATTTTTAAAACTTGGGTGTACATTTATTTTGTCTAAATAATTTATTTTATATTTTTGTACTGGATATGTTTGTAAATTTGATTGTAATTAAGTTAAATGTAAATATTTCACTATGCAATATGATAATTTATTTAAGACTGACTATTTTTGTGTTCGGATTTGCGCGAATTATAAATGTACGTTTCCACCGGCGAGATGACAGATGTCAACACGCGCTACGGCGCCCGTGGAACAGCGCGCTTAATGTGACAACGTATAACGTTATTGTATTATTCGAATATTGTTTATATTACGTTTTATGTTTGTGTTAATTCTAAATTAAGGTGTGAAATATTTATTTTGTGATAAATTCATGATTATTTTTAAAAACTTGGGTTAATTGCACAAGTATAAAGTAGTATACAAAAACGCAATATTATGGCAGCTAAACAATTTACAATTAATATTAGTTTAAAGGCGTAAATATTGCTTGTATGAAAATTTGAATTTATCGATCTGACGAAATGTACAATTTCCTGTATACGGTGTTAGTAATTTCAATTTGAAAGTATTTATTATGTATTTCTCTTAGCTGTTTGGTGATCAATTTCTCCCCGAAGGAAGTCTTAACTCTATCGACATGATAAAAAGATGTTATTTAGAGAGTTCGCATCGAACTTACGTCTAAGGTAAACTAAAGTGACAGTCGGTCAAGGTCAATTATATCGTATATTGGTCATCATGTCACCTACGAACATTTGGGTGACTCCGATTCCGTCGTTACCTAAATGAGTCGGCGTGCGATGACATTATTCTACTTATTAATTATCCAGTGACCCAATGTCATAATTTAGAGCAGATAAGTTGCTATTAAGTAAATTCTTTCTTGTGTAATTCCAATTCTTCCATAAATACAATATAAAAATGTTCAGATGAATCGATTTCGAATTTTGGATTCTAGTACATGGAAATTTACCTTTTTCGTGGTATTTTATATTACTTTGTATGTCTTAGGTACAAAATAAATAAAGATCTCATTGTAATTTGAAAGCGAGCCAATCGACCAAGTTATGTATTAAGCATGTTTATATCAAAATACGCTTCTGAAATTTAAAGGTTTAAGTTTGTAAAGATTATTTGTTTTTTTTTGTATATTTTTAATTTTGTAAATCTTCAATGTCGCAAATCGTTTGTCTGAAGGAAACTAGAAAAAACTGACTCCGGAGTTTGGAAATAAAATGTTGTGACATCGAAGCTAAAGTAATGAACACACACTAATTATTGCATACTATTTATATAGCTCCCGCGCACTCTGATCTACACATTATGAAAAAATACATCAGCATTAAAAATCTTTGAAACAGTGACTGTGTTTTATTATCAACATTTTATTATATAGCCCTTTGTAAATATCTTGACAGACATGAGTATATTAGAGGAAGTTTGAGAGTAGCCCCAGTGGTTGAGAAAATAAGGAGTAAAAGGTTAGAGTGGTATGGGCATGTTATGAGAAGGGATGAATCGCATGTAACAAGAAGGACGTTAGTTATGAATGTGGAGGGGTACATCGGTAGAAGTAGACCTAGAAAGAGATGGATTGCGTGAAAGGTGACATGATCAAAAAGGAAGTGATGACTGAGATGACGGGTGATAAGAGTGCTTTGGAGGACGAAAACCGGGTGCGCCGACAGGGGACGACAGGGGAGATGATGGTGATGACATGAGACTAAAACCCACAGTAATTATTTATCTAGAAATCCTTATTTGTAAGGACGCTTTCTGCACATATCTGCTGTTATAATAGGGGAATATTAAAATTAAAACAAAGTTTTAAATATAATTATGTTTATTTACAAATTAAAGGAACTGTCGATTATAAAAGAATTAAGATTTGTTTTATAATTATGTACAAAAAAAGATTTTAACTGACTAGTTATCTTCAGTTGATAATAGCTTAATGCCCTACTATTATAATTAGTTGCATTATAAATAATTCATTTGAAAATTCCTAGCTACTTGACAATGTAACAGAATCATTCAAAACATACTGTGCATATTTTACAGTTTAATTTCTTTATCAAACCTTAAAATAAAAGGTATAAAAACAATCTAGCCTCATTACTGCTTTACTTTACTGTCACCATCTCGATTAGTTTGCAGTAGTGTTGCTATTACATTGAATTAATATTGTATCAAAAATGCATTAATAATTTACTATTATACTCATTTCAATCACTAAAATAAACTAAATCCTACATAAATAAAAAAAATCAGTTTTAAATGTCAATACTATTTTGCTTAATAATTGAAAAAAGTGTTCCAAAAGTTGATTATTTTCTTATGGTATGTTTAGGGCTATATTTCAAACATAAGAATGGACTCTACAACAATGACCACATTAATTCAAAGTTAATTAAATTAACATTTAACATATATGTCGCAGGAAGCTATAAATTGACTGTTGCTTTATGTGTAACAAACGTTGTTGTCTTGCGTTTTAATATTGTTTAAGATAAAATTATTAATTTAATTCCTTTTTCTCGAAAGTAGAAACTCGATGTCTTTGTATTTAGTTCTTTTTAAAATTACAAGTACGTCAACTTACATACGACCAATGAGAGCAGAGCAAGTGGTCTTTATTAGCTCGTGCGGGGTCGAGGCGCAGTTCAGTGCTTAGAGGGCGACGTTTGTAGTGACATGTTGTGGTGCGTGTTGGCAAAGTGGCGAGTCGATTGAGGAAAGTAGTGTAGTAGAAGTACGAACGGTGCCACGAACCCGCTGCTCGGTCGGTGTTGTTGATTTGCTATGTGATAAGTGTAGATTCCGAAATATATTGTGTTAATCCGTGCCTCTAGTGTTTTGATGCTCGCACTTCACCCAAATGACGCCCACGAAACCAAGACTCGGTAGCAATGATGTCGGGGAGAAAGACCCAACTCCGACATATATGTTTAAATTTCAACCCTAAACATTGAGACATGGTTGTCAGAGTGCAGACTATGCAAATGCAAAATACCGTGCAGTATATTTTAAGGCAATTTTAATTAACTATACCTATATCTATCAGATAAAAGTGATATAATGTATAGAAAAAAATCCTCTAAAAAACCGTCAAAACTTCATATGTTAGAAAATAGTTCATAGATTTATTTACAAAATGTTCATTACAACTTCAATATTTGAATCTTCATATTTATTAAGACCTAATTCTTGTGCTTCTAATTAAGATCAAATCATTTACTTTGTGCAATTGGAAATAGACACTTAACCTAATTTTATGTGTAGAGTATTATTAAATAATCTTCCGTTGCATTATAAAATAACGCAATATAAAAAAACGCTGAATAAATTGTAGCATTTAAACATAACACAACAATTATAAACATGTTTAAAATATTATTTCAAAGTTATACTTATCGTTATAAAAATTCTACTTAATTTTTTTAAATTTGTAACTCAAAACAGTTGCAAATGAAAATTAATTCCTGAAAGTTTAGAGCCAACACTAAACAAGTTATCTGAGAGTGGCAGATAGAAGGCACCATTACTAGTTATACATTTACTTATCTTTAGTGTCCGACTTCTTTTCATCATCCTTGAAAAGGAGCGGCGTCATGCCGAGGAAGCAGCCCAGCGTGATGCCCAGCACTCGGCCCTGACACACATATGTACAGCAATATTATCTTCCATATTATAAATGCGGAAGTTTTGATAGATAGATGAATGAGTTTGTTTGAAAGCAAGCAAGTTTTAATAGTGGTAGAGCCCGCTTTAACAACTTCGCACGAATGGGCCGGCACGCCCGGTGTAATACCACGACCACATAGGAGACAGACGTAAAATGGAAACAATTCCGTGTTTCGTCTGATGAGTATGGTGCCAGAGGCCTAATTTAAGTCCCTTTTTCTTTACCACCCTTTTCTTATAAAAAGAGGATGGGAGGAGGAAGTGGATTTGACAGTGGAGGAGATGCATAAGAAGGGGAAATATCCTCTTTATGTGCGACTCCTCCTCCGTCTGATAAGGGTAGGCAACGCATCTGCAATTGCGGATGTCTATGGGCAGCGGTCACTTCGCCATTTTGACGATTTCAGATGACCGTTTGCTCGTTTGCCACCTTATGTTATAAAAAAAAAAGCAATATGATGTGAGGGTACCATGTTGGCGAAGCGGCGGCTGACAGGCATGTCGAGCTGCACGGGGGAGAGCGCGGGCGCGCCGAAGCCGAGCAGTGCGGCGGCACGCTCCACGTAGTAGGAGGAGCCGATGCCGATCACGTCGCTGAAGGTGTTGCCCAGCGCCGCCGCCGCCATCGTCGACAACGTTATGTATGCACTCATACTGCTTTCTATACTGTCGCCCTACACATATATGTTACATTTGTATACTGATATAATACTTCTGCTACCTTACTATAAGTATATACAGTGGAAGATAAAGCAATATTAAAAAAAAATCTATATGAAAAGTTTAGCTAGACTTTAAAATGTGCCATTAAACCAAATTCTTACCCAATTAAATCAAGGAATTTAACCATCAGTAGTTGTATTACAAAATAATGAGGTTTTTGAGTGCATATGTAAATAATATGACAATATAAATTTGAAATGAGTCATATTTGATAAAGACTTAGATAGGTGAAGGCATAAGTTTACTTTTCAATCTCGGTGCCATGAACAGCTTTGTGGTTTATTTTATGACATCACTGTCGCAGAGTGTACCTGAGATCCTGAATAACCAGTTCAATTCACACTATACACAAAAAAAATACTCACAGCAATAATCATGATGAAATTATCCAAAAATCCAAAGCCAATAAAAGGTATAGAGTTTGCCAGAGACACTGTAACACAAATACACAAAAATTGAAACTAAAAATCAAATAAAACAACTTAACATTTATAACATATTATGATTTCAGAGGGGGACCAAAGTACAAATATTTTTCTATTATTACTTACAGTGCATAAGTTCCTTAGTTGTTGGTTTTGGTACTGAGGCCGCTGAAAATAATAATTATTTTATATAAAACAGTAATTTTCAGTCAATGCCAAATGTTAAAGAGAGATAAAAGCTTACTTACCATATTTCTTTTTCAGCCAATCTTCAGGAACAGGGCAATACGTTCCAGTAGGGTCCACATCTCCTAGCGTCGGTACTTTACTAGGTCTGCCGAGCTTACTCCTCCATCTTTGACCAGCTAATTTATCTAAGAAAATAAATGACTGTAGGTTTATTGCCTAAGAGATATTGTCAAAAATTGTACAGTAAAATACCTTCAAATTCTTCTTTGATACGATTTGATTCATATTCCTGTAACGCATTAAATAGTACCTTCCTCTCTTCGTCGTTCAAATGTAGGACAAGTTCTGTGGCGTGAACTTTTGTTAGAGGACCAGATATTTGTGTGGGTTCCTCGAAATCCTTCGAAGTTGGTCCTAAGCCCAAATTACGGATATTAACTATGTCTGGAACTACTTTTTTAAATTTCAAAGTTCCCACTGTAACACTGTGACGTACTTGAAGTTTCAATAGTCTTTTATGACAACAAGTGTTGAAATAAAACATTGATGTATCACAAAACCTTTTCATTGCATGTATTGACTTCATTTTGTATAAGATGAGCCAAACTTTAAGTGTAAACAATCAAATGCAAACAGCTCACAGTTTCTTTGAGATCATACTCATTTATAACATTTCATTGAAAGATTATACGGTTCACACTGCTGTCAAATATGTGAAATGTCAATGTCAAATGTGTTAAAGGCTTTGTCAAAAATCACTCAAATCAGAAATATTTATAGAACTTCTACTGTAAAAAAATATTGCACCTGTGCCAAAAGTAGACTATCAGTCGATATTAAGAGAAAAATCCCCAACGTAATTACTCTAAAAATAAAATAAGTCTTAATCCTTCAGTACTTATTTTAACTATACAGTGCTTTTTTTCTCCAACTGCAAGATCACTTATCCGAATAGAGGTTCCATGTTTCCATCCACACCACCCATCTGTCAAATGCTGTTATGTCATACTATATGACTTTTATGAGACATGTCAATAAAGGAAAACAAAACCATTCGTAGAAGTGGAGAAGTATGAAGTAGTGAATTTAACAAGATTTAATGAAGTATTACACAAAAAAAAACTTTCTATCTATCATATTTAATTTTTAAGAATAAATGTCTCACAGTAAAATATTTGATATAGTATTATTAAGAAGAGGACCGTAGCAAACGAACGTTGTAACTTGACCATGCACGATGTTGGAGGGCCTCGTAGCTTGGGTATTGAACAATTACCTCGGGAAATATGTGGAGAACTTGAATACGGATCAGCTAAGCGTAGCCTTATTGTCTGGTAAGTCACAAATATTCACTTACTATCACTTTTATCAGCCGGTTTTCTTATCAGAAGTTTACGATGTTTCTTATGTTTATGTACAGCCTTGGCTTGTTCCAATGCAAAATTATTCAGTGAATGATTTTTCAAATACCCAACATTATTTTATTAATGAAGAACTAGTGATTGTTCTTATTACATCTCAATTCTCTCACAATTCCTTTAATTAGCACAGATTTAGCTTATTTAAAGGTGTTACAAAATTTTTAGGCAAAGTAGAACTAGAGAATCTACCTTTGAAGAAAGATGCTTTGCGTCACCTGGGTCTACCTGTGGAGATCAAGGCGGGGTTCATTGGCAAGGTGCAGCTTCAGGTTCCAGTTCGTCAGATCCGCTCCGCACCCTGGCTCATTGCCATTGAAAACCTTTATCTGGTTGCTGCTCCAGTCAACCTAGATGAGGTAAGATAGTTGTAGGAGCCCAATATATTAAAACTTCACAACTAGTGCATATTTTGTATCTACCACCAACATGCTTGTGTTTGAGCAACCATTTTGATTGAATTAAGATAATCCCATTTTGCAACATACTGATCACTATCTAATTTTATAAAAGTTTATGGAGTACTTATAATTATGTTAAAAGCAAACAAGAGTTATTCATGTTTCTAAATATGTTACATCATGTCCTCAGAGTGTCACTTTGTGGCAGCTAATAGTAACAAAGAATTGGTAGTGAGCCAATTTGTTGAAATAGTAATGTTTTGCTTTATAATAGATTTATGTAAAATTAAATGTGATAAACTTAATTTTAATTAAATATTATTAGATTTTATTTTGAACAGGAAACATCAAACATTTGTCTATTGTATAATATTTATATCTTAATATTATATCTTAATATAATATAATAATAATATATCTTAATATTGGCTTTTTATGGATAAGATAGGGAACACAAATAGCTTATCCATGTTTTGTCGCTTGTCATGAACTTTGTTTTACCCTGATAAGATTAATGGGACATCTTGATAAATATAAATTTAAATAAAACATTGTCTAAACAAAGATTGATTGTAAAGTTGTCCTTATTGTATATATTTATTTTTATGCAAATTTCTATGTCAATGAGACTTTTTTAAGAAGTAAGCAAACAAATTGCACTTAGATTGAGAAGGCAATGTTATTTATGCTGAACTGTTGGTGTGCTTTATTATTATGAGTTACTTTTTCAGACAATTTCAAACCCAAGAGTTTCTGAAGAGCCAGTCCTCATTTCGATTAATGAATTAGAAATAATGTGTATTGTAATAAATGAAAATAAATAATAAGAACACATAGTTTAATCTAGATATAGTTTCCATGCGCAGCGTGGCTCACAGAGATGTCGGCGGTGGTTGTTGCAGTGGGACAGCGTGCTGGAGGCGCACATTGCGCACGAGCGCAAGACGGCTCTACTGGATGCGCTGGAGGCGCAGTGGCGCGCGGAGCACGAGGCGCGCGATGCCGGATACTACGCCGCTTCCTATTCCTCCTGGCTCAGCTACGGGACGGGCCTGCTCGCCAACATCGTGGAGAATCTGCAGGTGCCCGTTCTGCACGATGACGTCCTCGGCCACTCCAACCCGTGTTTACATAAATGTGTTTTTAGCTAAAGTTGACCGATGTGCACATCCGGTACGAGGACGCGGTGACGTGCGCGCCCCAGACGTTCGCGTGCGGGCTCACGGTGCAGTCGTTGGCGG